ATTATAAAATTTTCTTATAATTGGATAAAATTTTAAATAAAATTAATTTAAACTGAAATCGAAATTTAATTAAGTCGTTTTGGGTTAAAAACAGACTTGAAAATAATAAACGTGCAGGACAATGTGAACCGCGCAATTAAAAGTTTAAATAAGGCCCAAAATATCTGAAAATTGAGATATTCTTACCCATTTGGCCGACTGTGTTCAGACGTTAGAATAGAGAGAAGAGAGAAATAGAAATTTCTACATTCTTTCTCCAATTCAAGGAGTTTCGTCGGTCAGAATTGCTTGATTCAAGAATTAAAGTTGGTCTACGCGACGAGGGCTACTCGTACGTACCAAGAATGAAAAATTTCACCGAAGTTTCAAATAAGAAATTTTGAGAAAATCAAAAGTTTGAGGCTTGAGAGTCATTCTTGAGGTTTCTCCCTTCACTTTATGCTCGAAGAGGTAAGGGTTCTCCTACTTTGGTCCATTTCCTATCTAAAATGTTATATGTAATGTGTAGGTTATGAGAATATATGTAGGTCACTTACCTATGTATATGAAATAGATGAAATAGGTATGAAAAAGGAATATTGAAATGGGTTTGAATAGACTTTCCTAACTTGAGATTGAGTGTCGAAATTACTTGATTGGTAATTTCATGGAAAAGTGATTTTATGGGCATGCTTTATGTTTAAATGTTATGCTTTGTGAATGATGGGAGAAATGTTGTGACTTGATGGTATTTTGCATAGAATGCCTAAGTGGAACTTAAGTTGTTATAGCATGGATTATGTGTAACAAGCTTGTGAATTGTTGATATTGGTGATTATATGCACGTGATATAAATTGTCATGACACATGTTGAATTGTGTGGTTAAATTCAACTTATTGACATTCATTACATTGAGCATGACATTGGTATTGCAATGGTTCATTACATTGCATCTGTATGAAAACATCACATTCAAGGGCTTAGGCATGAGTGTGGGTGTATGTTGTACATGATTGGATCAATCACCATACTTGGTATTTTGATGGGTGGGCTTGGGAAAGTGGGGTTGAATATCATACTGAGTTGCACGGTTGCATGCTTGAAAAACTTGTGTTGGATATAGCAAGAAGGGATAGATCCCCCCTCGGGTGCAAGGCCCAGTTATTGATTTTTACACTTCCGATGGTGTAAGTCCAAAAAAGTGTATCGGTGTGTGGAGCCGACGGTGCAACACAAAAAGTCCACTACCCAAATAAAGACACATGATTTTGTTATATAAACGATTCATTTGATGGGAAACATCTAGAAATGAATTGGTTTTTATAAACACATGAGTTGTTTCAAAATGATCTTTGGATGTACTCATCAAGGATAAATGTTTTACACTTGCATTGCATAGTGTGGTGAGAGCTGGCGAAGGCTTGGGTTATGTACGTGAGTAAATCTTATTTCATTCATGACATGACATAGTAAATTCTAACATGAACATATATATTCTTGATTGGAATGATTATATGATTGTGAATGTTGTATATGAACATTGCATATGCACTAAGGTTGAGGAGTAGTTTCTGTAGAAAATATTCTATTGGGCGTTGGCTCACCCTATACGGGAAACATTTTAGGTGCGGGGTTCGTACTGGGAGAGGACTCGCATTCGGGGCCTCGAGAGTGAAGAAAAGTCGATTTGTGGCTTTTGGAAACAAGTTTTGTAAAACTTTGGTTAAATGCCGTTTTGACATGTAAATTATGTAAATGCATATAATAGAACTTGTATAGATCATGTATAATGTAGAAAATGTTATTATACACGCTTGGGATGAATTTGGGAAGGTTTGAGATGAATTGGAAATGAAAAACTGATGAAACATAAAATTCTGGACAAAACCAACCGGTAGCTAACAGATAGTACTTGTCAAGCAGGCAAAACCTACCGGTAGTTAACAGGTAGTATCCGTCCAGCAGACAAAATCTACCGGTAGCTAATAGGTAGTACCTGTTCAGTAGGAAAAAACTACAAGTAGCTTATAGGTAGAACTTCTACCGGTAGGTCTAACAAACACCTACCGATAGCTCTTTAAAAAATCTGAAAATTTAAAATTATTTTGCCAACCTGTTGAGGTTTGTTTTCTTTAGTTTTAATGATACAAATGGACATTAAATGAGGTATATTGAGGCACATTGGACCTCCGTTGAATTAAATGATTAAAGAAACACGGGTGATACGTGTAGGTTATGATCCCGGTTAAGGGGATACGATTAATATGATGTCGGGTCGTGCGACAAATATGGGTATTTTTGTGGGTTGACGAGTGGTCAACGATTGAAAAAGGACCCCCAATTTTAGGGGCGTCACAGTGCATGTGTGCTCGATGTACTCTAGAAGAATTTGAAAATGAGTGAAAATCAATGGTCTAATCATTTGGACTGGAGACAAACAATTGGATAACAGAAGTTTATGCAAATCGATTCAAATGGGCCGAAGCGTACTTGTGAGGAAAATTTTTTGTCGGCTTAAAAAGCACGCAATGATCAGAGAGTATGAATGCCTACCTCAAACGCTTTATAAAAACAAGCCAACGATTATTCGAGTTTTTTAGGCACTATGATGGCGGTTTGGCAAGGATCAGGGAGTGTGAGGCCAATGATGACTTTGAGTCAGAATATTCTAGGCCAGTGATGCAGACAGCATTGAAATGCTTAAAGGAGCATACTGCTGCTCTATATACCAGAAAGAGTTTCTTCAAGGTCTGTGGTAAGATACAAGAAAAAGCTTTATTTTTTATTGTGGATAAGATCGAGATTGAAAGTCATCGGAGTTACTATTTGTCTCGATTCACAAAACCAGAATCAAGGTGGATTGTGGAATATTATCTTCAAATTCATGCGTTGCTCTCACATAATCGTGGTCATGAAGTATGAGCACATACAAGAGCTTCCTCATTCCATGGTGATGGACAGGTGGACCATTAAAGAAAAAGCTGGGTATAAATGTGCACACAAATGTGGTAATGTGCAGCCGAATGTGTCAATTCCTACGCGTTATGCTAGACTTATGTTAATGTGCATCCAAATGAGTTATTACGCTTCACAGTCTCTCTCATACTCAAATGACCTGAGGAGTATGGTGTAACAAAGAACTTCTCTTCTAAAAGCCCCTCATGAGTCACTTGGCAAACACGATGCAAATGTGACGACTACACAATTTGGTGTGAATGATCCAAAGATTGTGAAATTCAAGTGTAATCATAGTCATGCACAAAAGAATATTCCAATCAACCCACGAAGATGTAGTAAATACAGGGACACTGGCCATACTATTAGAAAATGTCCGCTCTTGATGTCTCAATCCAATGATCCATTCGAGGACATGCCTTTTTTCACAACCAGTTGGATCACAGCAACCACGAGACATTCCTTTTTTACAACTTAGTGGATCAAACCAACCAGCCACATGTCTTTTTCACAGAATGGTGGATCGCAACAATCTATGCCATCATCGAAAGAGGATGACCATTGCATTCCCTTTGTCAATAAGGGTATCCTCAAGTATCAGGTTCATATAATACTCTTTGGATGTTTATATTTTTTTTTTCATATGTACTCATTCCTTATTATTTCAGGATGGAATGTCAAGTTTGATTCTACCATTCAATCACAGTACATAAACACTAGTTTCAATAAAATGGAGGTAATTACAAAAATTATAAATTTTATCCCACAAATTTTATTTTTTCACCATTGTCATCTGACCATCAATTTATGCTATCATAGTGGGCACCAAGATCATGGAGCAAAATGGGTTGATGAAATTTTACTTTTTTTTGCAACTTTGAATGAAAAGGTTTAATTTACATTCTCCATTCCAAGTATTTTTTTCACTTAGATATACCCTTATATTTTTTTTTCTAGAGAACTTGTGAGAGAATTTTATTATTAAAAATTAAATTAATCCTAGCTAGGGGGACGTATTTACCTTACCCTCGATGCAATCTAATTACAATGTGATAAGGAATTAAAAATTCTAATGCATGATTTTACATGGAAAAACAAAAAATAATTTCCTAACTGATGAAACCAGCTACTGAAATGTGTTGGAATGTTGAACAGTCATGTGAATAGTAGCTAAGAGAGCCAAGATGAGCAATGTGTAGCAGCTATTTTGGGCATTCCAGCACATTTCAGTAGCAGCTATTTTGAGCATTCCAAAAATAACAGCTGCCTAGAAATGTAAACAGTTGAATGGGCCACGAGCAAAAGCTAAGAGATGAAGGCCAGCTGAGAAATGCAGCTGAATGAGTTGCAAGAAATAGCTGTCCATGAGAAGTGGAGGGATTTATCGAATAAGGCAAATGAATGGCCTTATTAGGACTCGATAGGTTATCAGTGATTAGCCAATTGCATCTAGGAGATCGAAAATCCAATTGATAAGGTGGCTGGGTTACTGATAAGGCGGCTGCATGACAGATGATAACCCTTTGTATGACCAAAAGCCTCCTGGGAACCTGTAAAACAATCTGAAAGACTATAATAGTCGTTAGAGAGACAATTGGGAACCAGACGAAGAAAAGCCAAACACTCTGAGAGCTAGATCCCACAAAGCAAGTATGAGTGGTCAGGCTACCTTGCTCTTGTAGAGATGGTCCAAAAAGTGGGTCTTAAGCTTCATGTGTCGCTTTGTTTCCTTTACCTTGCTCACTTTTATAATTTTTCTGTTTCTATTCAGAATTTGGCTCTTCTCAGACTTCTCTCACCTTTTCTATGCATGGGAGGAATCTTAACCATTTTTTTCTGGCAATTTTCTTACTTTTTGCTTCCCATTTTCTTTTCTGATATTTACATTCTGTAGTTCCCCCTACAGATGCTCTCTGTTTGATGATTTTCAACTGATAATTTTTCTATATATTGTTCACTCGTTCTTATATATAAATGACATATATTTGTTTATCTATTTCTTCATTTCTGGATATGTAGGGAAGAGCAAGTAGATAGGAGTGTGGGGTTGGTGGTTGAGTAGTGAATGGCAGAGGAAAGTGGTGGTGGGAAGTTGGAAATGGCATCATGTTCCACTCTTAAACAGAGTCCATTGCCTATGAAAGAAACACCCTTAAACTATCATCCATATCCACCTCCCTTGGCTAGATATGAGGAAGTTGTAGCCTGTCCAAGACTCTTCATGGATACTTTGGAGAAGCTCCATGCTACAATGAGAACCAAGTTCATGTAAGCTTTATTTCTTGACCCTTTACTTGCAACTTGGTACTCTTGTTCCATGACTTCCATGTGCCTTCAGTTTAATCACTTGCAACATGTAAAATTCTCAATTTTGTTGTAGGATGTGTACTTTGTTGATAACATCTATGTGTGTCTTTAGCTTTATGAGTATGTTCTATAACTCGATTTTGCCAACCTTCCAAAAGATTCATTTTTGTAATTTGCCTAGAATTCCCTCCCCTCTCAATGTTTGCTTTGTCACATTTTGAAGGGGTAGCTACCCTGGGAAAAGTTAAGATTGGTTTGGCCCAATAATAGTGTTACTGTTGAATAAATAAATTGAACAGATAATGGTTGCTGTTAATTGACATATGCCCAAGATTGATTTTTTTGTGCAAAGTCTGCTCCTTGTAATTGCAGCTTGAATTCTAGCATGTCTTCTCCATCTTCCCCTATCAAGTTGTTTGAGTTTGGGGTAGCAGGGGTGGGAGTAAAGGAGGTGCTACCTATTGGAGAAGGGACATTTCCTTGCTCTGATTGTTCTAAGCTTTGTACTTTTGCCTCCCCCGACATTGGATTAACTTTAATTACAAAATTTCTATTTGGTCTTTTCTTACTGGATGATATTTTGTCAGATCATGCTGAATTTTGCTGACACACCAATAACATTCTCATTCCTTCTGACCATTCAACTTATGTATTAAATGAAACTTATACATTATGCATGCTGACATTCTTTTTCATTGTCGCTGTGGTAGTAGTATCTTCCTCATTAAAACAACCAATCAATATGTCTGTGAGGCTTAAGTTAATGTGCTGGTAACAATTTGGTGTTCCATGATATGCTTTCCATACAATGAAAAGTTTTATTCATGATAATCTATGCAACAAAGACATTTTCGGATTACTTAAAGCGAAAAGCCTTTGTTGTAAAAAAATCTTTTACTGTCCAACATTTATTGCTTTAGTAATTTTTTGATGTTGTTAGATTTAATTTGATGTTGAATCTATAGAGAACTTTAATCTTAGACCAAAACGGTTTAATTTGTCGTTGATCTTGCAGTAAAAGTTCTCTCGTATGTAGATTGAGAGTGAAAGGGAAAGTATGAGTATGAGAAGCATTGTCACAGACTCCTTGGTTGGCCAAAGAGTATGCAACTGCAATTCCTTCGCTATAGGAATGCTTCATTTCCACAAGAACCAAGCTCATTTTATATATATAGAATACTACTTTTTTGGGTGGAACATTATCAATTTTATTTGGTTGGAATACCATTATTTTTGGTAAGATTACCAATCTTTTGAGGCAATATTATCCCGTGTTTTGGCTTAGAATACAACTTTTTTGGGTGTAAGAGTACAACTTTTTGGATATAATATTATCACCTTTATTTTGTAAAAATACCACTTTTTTTTAATAAGGTTACCATTTATTTGAGGCAAGATTATAACTTTTTTGGGTAAGATTACTATTTTTTAGGTTAGATTACCACTTTTGAGGGAAATATTACCATTTTTTTGGTTAACAATACCATTTTTGGGTTAAAATACAAATTTCTTGGGCTTAGAATACAACTTTTTTGGGTGTAAGAATAGAATTTTTTTCGTGTAATATTATCACTTTTATTTTGTAACAATACCATTTTTTTGGTAAAATTATCCATTATTTGAGGTAAGATTACCACTGTTTTGGTTAAAAGTATCACTGTTTTGGATAATATTATTACTTTTTTGGTTAAGATTATCACTATTTTGATTAAGAGTACCACTCTTTTGGTTAATATTACCAATATTTTGGTTGACATTACCATTGTTGTGGCTAAGAGTACCACTATTTTTGATAATATTACCACTTTTTTGGTTAAGATTACTATTGTTTTGGTTAAGAGTACCATTCTTTTGGTTAAAATTACATGTTGAGGTAAGAGTACCATTTTATTGGTTAAGAGTACAACTTTTGTGGTTAACATTGCAATTGATTAGGTTAATATTACTTTTTTGATTAAAAGTACCACTTTTTTGGTTAACATTACAATTTTTTTGATTAAGATTACCATTTTTTTTGTTAAGATTACCACTGTTGAGGTTAGAGTACCATTTTGTTGGTTAATAGTACAAATGTTTTAGTAATCTAATAAGTTTTTTGGTTGACATTACTATTTATTAGTTTAACATTACCACTCTTTTGGTTAAGACCACTTTTTTGGTTAAGATTACACTTTTTTGGTTAAGATTACACTTTTTTGGTTAATAGTACTATTTTTTTGGTTAACATTATCAAACATTTAATTAACATTACCACTTTTTTGGTTAAGATTACATTTTTGAGGTAAGTACTACTTTTTTGGTTAAAATTATCATTTTTTGGTTAATATTACAATTTTTTGGACTGATCAAGAGCATTTAGCAATCAAAAATAGCGATCCAATTGCAACCGATCAAGATCTGGGTAGCGATCAAGATTGGGATCAAGTAGCGATCAGATCAAGTGTAGGTTTGTGATCAAGAGTAGTGATCAAGTGGGATCCGATCAAGTGGGATCAAGTAGCGATGGGATCAAGTGAGGTTTGCGATCAAGAGTAGCGATCAGGATCAAGTAGCGATCAAGAGTGGGATTAGGTTTGCAATCAAGAGTAGCGATCAAGAGCTTGAGACCGACTGGTGCAGTAACGATCGAGAGTGGGATCAAGGGATCTTTTTTTAAAATCTCAAATTTTATTGCATAAATCTCAAAATTACAAGAATTAAAAAACAGAAACTGTTTAACTAAAAAAACAAAATCTGTTTTAACAGAAAACCAAAAAAAAAACAGAAAACTGCTACAAACATAATTTCTATTTTATAATAGAAAACAGAAACACAAAACAAAATAGGTTTTTTTTGTACAAATGCAGCATTCCTGAAACTGCTGGGTAACAACCTACCAAGTCAATCCCAGCAAACCAACCCAGTCCAGTTTAGCTACTCAGTAAACTGCACCAGTACATAGAGCAAACTATAGCAAAGCACCGACTCCATTCTGCCATCTTCATCCTAGCATACCAATCCATTCCAATTTTCATCTGCTCAGCAATCTGCACCAACATAGAGGACCATTTTTCAGCTGCTTAGAAATCTGCACTTTCATCCTTTCAATAGTTCAAAATTAGAACTTATTCCCAGTTTGAAATTGTATATTACATAAACTGGCTTTAATCCTTCAAGAGGACCAAAACTAGTTTTAATTGCATAAATGGAACCCCCTCAGAACTCCTGTCATAGAAATGTTCAGATCAACTATACACTACCATCCAGCTACTGACAATATTGCACTCCATTGCTGCTGATAATACCTGCTGAGCATTCTACAAACTTAGCCCCATTCCTTATAATGACATACCACATTCTGCCTGATCCTTGCCTTAGGCAAACTTGACTGGTCCTGGTGTAATAGCATTCTTCTAGCTACCGGTAGTACTCTATTGACAGAAAACTTAGTAGATATCTCAGTTTGAACAACATACGAAGCTAAGAAATCAGCAATACCATTTGCCTCCCTATACACATGTTTAAACTAAAACTGCAAAGGCCCAAGAAGCTTCCAGATCTCATCCAGATCGACATAGTTTTCTTTGAAAATAGAAACCCAAAGAAAACTAAACCTGTTTACACTAACATCAATTGTAACACTGCGTAACACAAACCATTGCATAACCAATCTCAAGAATAAATTATTCAACCAAACTCAAAGAGAACATCAAAGTTTAGTCATTACCCAATTCAAACCAAAATAACCTTTACTACTAAATTACCACAATTATGCTCATTACAACCATTTGCTTATCACAACCATTACCATGCTCATGTTATGTATAAATAACAAATATATTTTAGTTTTTTGACAAAAACATATCGTATTGCATTAATTTGTTTCATCACTTTTCACTATTGCTACTTCAACTATTGTATCAACAACCAACAATTACAATTACATATAATTGTCACTTGCTAGCTATTTCTTTGCTTTTCATAAAAAAAGACTCAATTCTATCCCACCTATTATCAATTCTATCCAACCTACTATCAATCACCTTGAGAGACTCTTTTATTTCATTTTGAGTATTTTCAAATTCCTCCATCTTTCTGCCCATTCGTGCCAGCAAAGCTCCAAATAAAGAAAATCGATCATCCAATGGAGGAAGACCACCTGTGGAAGAATTTGGGACTTCTTGGGCTGCAATATTATCCTCAGGTGCAACGTCATTCTGAATTTCAACTTGTGGCCGAGTTTTCTTATTCTTCCCTTTCCCCAAACTCTGCTGTGGCTGAGTTTTCTTATTCTTTCCTTTCCCCAAACTCTTTTTTGTTGTCCCACCATAAATTGGATTCATGGGAGTGGAATAAGCGTCGCTTGAGTGAATTACAACTCCACAATCCTCTATAATCTTTGAAATCAAAATTAGAAATGGGAGACATTTTCGCCTATCCTTCCTACTGTGTACCGAAATAAATTCATCAATTATTAAACAAGGTATATCTATCCACATACTCGTTCCAATGGCATACAAGAGATGAACTTGATCAAGTCCAAAATCAGCATTATGTCCGATTGGACGAATATTATACCCCACTATAAGGTTTAACATCATATATTTGAGAGTCAGGTGTTGCTGAAAAAATAATGGATCGGCAACACTCTCACTAAAATTGTTAGGTATACCCTCCATTTCTGTATAAACATCCTCCAACTTAGGTATGTACTTAGAATTATTGAATGGATAAGTAAGTGTATTGTTATGAGCGAAGGGTCGGCGAACTCCCAATATTTTTGAAACTAAATCTGGGGTTACTTCAAAACTCACCTTCCTAACAAGGGACTTAAACTTGCGATCACCTATATCAATATCATGCAGGTTAGAATAAAATATCTTCACCAATATATTATATGTTTTATCCGTCTTTTTGATATCAACTGCAGAATTTCATTGATGAAGAGCAAAAATAACATCTAATCCTACATCTTTTAATTCATCCAGAAAAACACCCCTCTCTAATAACAAAGGCTTATTATAAAAGTAGTTATCATACTGATGTTGGATTGGGATTGGGGGTTGGGTGAACTTGATGTATTAAAGGAGGGATCAACTAGATTGGTGGAGGTGGGATAAACAGTGGGATCAATTGGTTTGGTGGAGGTGGGATCAATTGTAGAGGGAGGATGATTACATTTCTTCTTCAATGAGGGACCAGAGGGAGGATCATTATAGCTCTTCTTCCTCTTCATTTTTTCACTGGTATCAACTTTTGGCCTATACTTCTTAGTCATTATACTCTGTTGTAACAAGAAAAAAATCTAGTCAAAAAAAAAAAAAACGAATAACATGGAAGATTATCTATTACTTTTGAGCAATAACAATTGATTTTTGAACCATCACTCACAAAGAAAAGAAAAGAAAACTACCGTAGAGGAGCCAATTCTCGTGACAATCATTGTATAGTATACACCCCACGCGCAAGTTAGACAACCACAAGAGTCGAACCCCCAAGTTGCAGGCACCTTTCTCTCTCTTCTCTGATGGAGAAAAATGATACATGCTATTTTGAGACGATTAGGGCACCAAATTTTGAAGTCCTCACCTCATTTAGGGTATGGTTAAATCGATTAGGGTTTTGAGGAGTTGGAATTTTATGGGAATACAAAGATCAATCGGGGTTAGATTAGTGATCTAAGTTGATGGGGTTATGTTGCGATCGGGTTCAAGTTTGTTGTAGCGATCAGTTTCTTGATCGCTTGTTGATCGGTATTTGCAATCAAATTGGGAGATCAGCGATCAAGTTTCTTTTGTTTATATTAAATTACACTTATAACCCTAAATTAATACTCTTTTTCAAATTTTTCCTCATATTTTTTTATATTACACATTCAAGTAATTAGTTTCGTATTACCCCAAATTGTTTTACCTATTTTAATTTAACGCAAAAAAGTATACTCAAATATGATAACTTCGAACTTAATTTCTATTATTTTTAACTTAATCTAAAATGTAAATTTAATTTCACTCAATAACTCCAACTATTGTAAATTTTTTGTTATATTTTTATTTCTGATGAGCCAAGTCCAAGGGCCCAACTCATGTTACAAGCCCAAGGGCCCAACTCTAAGAGGTCCAGCTAGCCAAGCCTAAAGGAGTCTGCACCCGGACAAGCTCACCATGGTCAAGGATCTACATCAACAGGGGGCATGCAAGGGTCATCCAAGAGCCTCCTCTACCACCTTGGAGTAAGGGTCATCAAAAGCCTCTCCCTCGTAGCCTTGGAAAGAGTCAACCCTTATCTCATCCTTTGATCGAGTCTCGTGGAGAGAATCTCAACCGCCTCGCCCGTTGAGAAGAAGTCGTGAGCTTCACCGAAATATTTGTTTAGTTGCTAATACCTCGCCAGAATATGTTAGGAGGACGATTATAAATTGTAAGCCCCACCAACACTTGGGGGGCATCAACAAAAGATCTCACTCGGTTAAGCACGACTCTCTCCTCTCTCTCTAAGCTTGTACTCTCTGCTCCCTGCACCCTTGAGCTAATAAAGTACTGGGCGACCAAGGCCGTTCAAAAGTGGACGTAGGTCACGTTGACCAAACCACTATAAATCTCGTCTCCTCTAACTCTCTTTACTTTTAATTACTGCATTTATTACTCACACTTGACAGGTGGTGTGCAAAACTATTTTATACATCATCAGTTTGGCGCTGCCTATGGGAAAGATCAAATTCTCACTTCTAATCATTCTCTCTATTGAACCAATGATAATCACCACTAGATCGATGAATCAACCTGAGGACAACCCTCCACGAGAGGAAGAGGTTGCTCCTCCACTTACCAACCCTGTCCCAAATGCTCCAGTTCCAAATCCTCAACAAATATTGGAGACCATACAGCAGCTGGTGGCCCAAAAGTAGTAGATTCTGTAACTTATGCTCATCGGACAAGGAGGAGCACAACTTGAAAGAGCATAACACCCTCCATGAGAGGAGGAGGTTGCTCCTCCACCTACAAACCTTGTTCCAAATGCTCCAGTTTCAAATCCTCAGTAAATGTTGGAGATCATGCAGCAGTTGGTGGCCCAAAACCAGTAGATCCTGTAACTCATGCTCACCGAACAAGGAGAAGCACAACTTGGAGGAGCATATCCTGGAGGTCCTCACCGAGCTCCATGCCCTGGAAATCAAGGAGCTCCATACCTTGCTGCTCCCCATCTAGGCGCCTATGCAGATTTGGACGCCCCTTTTGGAGTCCTCTTGGGCGCCCCATATAGGAGAGCCCATCATGATCCACCTCTTTCTCTTCCTGCTTCCCATGGTGAAGACCCTTATCTCCAAGAGGAAGAGGGTGAAAACCCAAACATGGAGCATGATAGTCATTTCCATGATCATTTCAGAGGAGCCCCCAACCACTAGGACGAAAAAATAAAAGGGGTGCAAAATCATCTAGGTGACGTCTTCAATGCCATGAAGGCTCAAGGACCTGAGACGGTGGACTATCTCGTTAGGCGAACTGAAACACCTTTCAAACCTGATGTGGCGAACTACCCCCTCCCTTAAAAGTTTAAAATGCCATATGTGGAGACCTTTGATGGAACGAAGGATCCACTAGACCACCTTGAAACCTACAAAACTCTGATGCAACTACACAACGTCCCAAATGAGATCATGTGTAGAGCGTTCCCAACCATCTTGAAGGGGTTCACCCTGACAATGGTTCGCCAAGCTCTCCCCAGCCTCTATAAGCTCTTTCGTTGAATTGAGCAGATCATTTGTGGCACAATTCATTGGTGGACGCCACCAGCAGAAGCTTGCCACCTACCTGCTCAGCATAAAGCAAGACCGAGAGGAAAGTCTAAAGAGTTATCTCACTCGTTTTAATGAGGAGGTCCTCCAAGTTGAGGAGCCCAATGACAAAGTAACTATGACCGCCTTCTTGAGAGTCCTCTGCTCGTGAATCTTCCTTTTTTCAGTAATGAAGTGATCACTAAAGAGCATGCCAGAACTATTGACAAAAGCTCAAAAATATATGAATGCTGAAGAAATCAATAGGTCCAAGCGAGATGAATCATCTTGCGGATCGTCAAATGCTTGACTTGCCTCTACACTGTTCTCAAACAGGCAGCCTATCTCCAACTTAGTGGCTCTCTCGCGGGTCGCCAAAAAAATTTGGTCTCTGCCTGTTCTCAAACAGGCAGCCTATCTCCAACTTAGCGGCTTTCTCGCGGGTTGCCCAAAAAGTTTAGCCTCTACACTGTTCTCAAACAGGCAGCCTATCTCCAACTTAGCGGCTCTCTCACGGTTTGCTCAAAAAACTTTGCCTCTACACTATTCTCAAACAGGCAGCCTATCTCCAGCTTAGTGGCTCTCTCGTGGGTCACCAAAAAAGCTTGGCCTCTGCACTGTTCTTAAGCAGGTAGCCTATATATCCAGTTTAACGGCTCTCTCGCAAGTCTCCAAAAGTTTGGCCTCTGCACTGCTCTCAAGCAGGCAACCCATACCTCTAGCTTTGGGGCTCTTCCATGAGTCGTCGAAAGCTCAGTCTTCAAACTCTGTCTTTGCTTTCACGCAAGCAGTCTGTCTCTCTCTCTCCCTCTCTCTTCAGGTAATCATGTTATATATTTTTTGATGTTAGAATAACGTTGTTTTTTCCAGACATGTTTTTGAAATTTAGGCTCTTTACAATCCATGGGACTACATTAGATTGAATGCCAACAATCGGGCCTCATCTATCTGGCACTTGCTCCTAGGTGCTAACGCCCCTCCTAGCACTCAACCTGAGTAACATAGCCCTGACATCACCCCTCAGGCACCCAGAACAGGCACCCTAACACCTCTCAGACGCCCAACATAGGGGCCCAGACCTCCCAGGTGCCCCAGACTTTCCAGACGCCTAGCATAGGGGCCCAACACCTCATAGGTGCCCAGGCCTCCAAAGGCACACCCACTTCCATGGTCAGCTCACCCAACGCAGTCCCAGGCTTGCTTAGGGCGCCCAAGGTAGCCCCAGGCTTGCCCAAGATGCCCATGGCAGCCCTAGGCTCATCCAAGATAGCCCTAGGCTCACCTAGAAGCTGCTGCTTGCCTAAAACCGTGTGCCCAGTGTGCCTGCTTGCTATTTTGACTGTAAATTTTGCTTTGTAACTCTAAACATGGGCTTATTATATATTAAATTGAAGCTCTCGGTGAGCCCTACAAGACTTAAAGCCTTTGGCTATGAATGATGGTGTAAAAAGTCCAAAAAAGGCCTAGAAACAAAATTTTTGGCCTCCCAAAGTTTTCTAAAAAAAAAAATTTAGCTCCCCAAGACACCTCCTGCTCGCCCTGCACAAAGTTTTGACCGTAATTTTTGCTCCGTTACTCAAATGAGGCTTATAATATATCAAATTGAAGTTCTCGGTGAGCCCTACAAGACTTATAGCCTTTGGCTATGAATGATTCTGTAAAAAGTCCAAAAAGGGTTTGGAAGCAGATGTTTTGGCTTCCCAAAGATTTTTCAGTTGTGTTGATCAACCGAAAATTCGAACTTAATCGAATGTCCTCCTTTTCAAGTTCCATTGGACACAAGGCATTGGGGGGCAAATGATGAGCCAAGCCCAAGGACTCAACTCATTTTACAAGCCCAAAGGCCCAACTCCAAGAGGTATAGCTAGCCAAGCCCAAGGAGTCTTCACTCGGACAATCTCACCATGGTCAAGGAACTACATCAGCAGGGGGCATGCAAGGGTCATCCAAGAGCCTCCTCTACCACCTTGGAGTAAGGATCATCAAAAGCCTCCCCCTTGCCCCCTTGTAAAGAGTTAACCCTCACCTTATCCTTTGACCGAGTCTCATGAAGAGCACCTCAACCGCTTTGTCCGTTGAGAAGAAGTCGTGAGTTCCACCGAAATAGTTGTTTAGTTGGTAATAACTCGCCCGAATATTTTAGGAGTGCGACTACAAATTGTAAGCCCCATCAATACTTAGGGGGCATCAGCAAAAGATCTCACTCGATTGAGCACGACTCTCTCCTCTCTCTCTAAGCTTGTACTCTTTGCTCCCTGCATTCTTGAACTAATAAAGTACCAGGCGACCAAGACCATTCAAAAGTGGACGTAGGTCACGTTGACCGAACCACTATAAATCTCGTCTCTTCCAACTCTCTTTACTTTTAATTACTGCATTTATTACTCACACTTGACAAGTGGTGTGCAAAATCATTTTGTACATCATCAGTTTCATGTCTAAATCATTTTAATTTCTATTAT